GTTAAATTAAATTAACTTGAGTACCTTAACTAATTTACTTCATTAGCTTAATTAAATTAAGTTAATTAGTTAAAACTAATTAATTATTAGTTAGTTAATTTTGCATACGCCTAAGCTGGGTTATTTAATAATATACTTTTATTTAGTTAATTTGCTTTTATTGGTTAAGCAAATTATTAATTAAGTTTCTTCCATATTAAAATTATATATAAAAGTGATACATATTAACAAAAATATTTTAATAATTTTTATTAATACAAGATTTTTTATTTAAAAAGAAAGTAAGTACAAATTAATACATGTTTAGTTTTAGTTTCAAATTAAATCTTATAATTTGATAATGATACTATAATTTTTTATAAAATTAAAAAAGTAACAAAATTATTCATTTTACATTCAATAATTATTAATTTAAAATAATAAAAACTAATACTAAATAAAAATTTAGTAAAAGTTAAAACAATGTAATAAAAATTTAAAACTAATACAATTAGGAAAGTCACAGTCCTCTTTTTTGGGGTGCAACTTGGGTGGATTGGGTTAGATTAAGGGTCAACCCAATCCTAAGTCTCAAACCTTGAGCTTAGGCTTGGCCAACTCAAAATTAAGCTCGAGTTTACCAACCTAGGCACATTTTCTACCCTATCCAATGGGTATACACCCCGACGGGGCGGGATTTTGCTTGAAGGATGGGTTTTGGGGCAAATCGGGTTTTGGGATTCTACAACCCGTACGTTACGAGTAAGGTATGGTACTAGGCTAAAATCGACCCTCCTATCCCCAACCCACATATTATTAGAAAGCATATAAACTTTTGTATACTAGGTGTTGAATTTAATAATATTTTGATTTTGATATAAAGAATAATTGATAATTTATGCGTTTTTTTTATGTCCTACTCAAATATTTGGAAACTTTGTTGTTTATTTATGTTAGTTTACTTATTTATTAGTTATATATAACAAGAAATAATAGAAAATTAGATGTGGGTTCCAAACCAAGGAGGGTTTTACATTTTCATTTGCGGAAAGGGTTTGGATTCTCAAAATCCAACCCTATCATCCCTATTCTTGAACCCAATCCGTTGCCATTCCTATTTGGGCTAGGCTTGAACTTAAGCATATTGATCTTTGTAGCTCAATTTCAATATAAAAACAGTAAAATAGATTAATAATATATAGATATGTATAATATAAAATGTTGGGCAAACTTAGATTACACCTGATCAGTACCCAAAGCCTCAACCTAAGCCTATTCCGAGTTTAGTTAGGCCCTTTTTGGCCCAGGTCCAGCATTAAGTTCAAAAACTCAATCCCTATGCAAAAAGTTTTGGTTGAATAGGGTAGGCTTGGATTGGGTTCACCCAACTTTCCCCATTAGCTCCTTTTACCTCAAATTATTTTAACAAAACCCGTGAATCGCAGGAGTCCTGCTAATTTATTCCTCATATACATAAAAGATATTAAAATAAGAAAAAGAAAAAGAATACAGTGTGTTAAGACTGAAGACCAATTCCTCATTAGTGTTCATGAATAACTAGTTCGAAGTTCTATTTTGGTGCAAGCTGAGTATCGGTAAGCGGTAAAGCAAGTGCCCTTACAATGGCACTGCCTAATCGTGACAAGGCAAATCAGACTGCTACGTGGGTTTCTTGTAAGTACAGAGGTGACTTGGTGTATCACGATCACCCGGTATTACGTGTAGAATTACAGGCGATTTGAACTCTTACAGATGGGAGTAGATTAGGGCTATGTGTTTCAAGTATAACATTACTACGTCAGCACCACGTAGGCATTTTGAATTTCAAGCCAATCTTCCATTTGCTTGCGATGTCGTGCGGATATATAGAGAGAGAGATGAAAAACACACATTTTAGTCAAACTGGATTTGATGGGTAAAACTGACCACTAATTAGAAGCACCTCGAACATCCTTGGTCCAAGGCCTCTCGATGATGATTGATGAAAGTCAGCTCGATACTCAAGCAGAGCTAGGTTTACTAAGAAGCACACCTCATCGAGCTGTGCTGGGATCGGAAGAAGCACAACTAAATTGAACGTGGCAGTCTGGCAGATGAGTCACCTAAACATGTCCACTAATTCACCAAGTGTTTCACTCATCATCCCTATCACTACGTGTTAAACCTATATAAAGGTAAATTTAAAAAATTGGTAGATATACTTGCATTTACTACCCTTATTTTACTTTGTAGGTCCCCACCTTGCATCCGCACCAAACAAACGCACACACGTTGGAATTTCAACCCGAATTATCACCCGGGCCACAGATCAATAACATCTTTGGTCATTCATGGCGATATATTATCGTTCGATGCACAGCTGCAAGGTGACATGTGAGATTGGTGATTGGTGTGAGGAGCTCTTTGTAACTTGAAAGGAGCGGATCCGGATTTGGTTGAAACTTGAAACAGCGATAGTATCAAACACAATCTTAATAGTTAATTCCAAAGGCCCACCACCCGTGCAGGTGCAATGGAAACTCGCAAAATCAGGCCAAGACGCTGTTTGGTTTGTGTTCGTCTTTCAGCCTACACTCCACGGACCAATTTATGGTCAATGGAGTTGCTCTCCGCTACTCACTCACGGACGGACCGAAACTCTCAGGCTCTGCCTCTTTCATCCCTCTCTCACACGAGTGACGAGTATCCGAGGAACTTCCGCTGTGGTACTGGTAGTAGACGTAGACGAAATATATTCACCAGACATCACAGCTGGCATTGATGTTTCCAACTGCTTCTTTCTTTCTAATGTATCATTGTATTGTCTTCAATTTGCTGACCCCGATCCAACGGTAAACGTAAACCCCTGTACGTAATTCCATCCCGATCCAAACGTTATCTGCGTAACCAAAAACACCCTCCTTTAGTCCCATGCATTTACCTAAACGCCCTTTATGGTATGGGCTACCCTCCCATCTCTTCTATAGAAAATAATGAGAGAAGTAGTAAGTAATAATACTCTTGCGTAAGGAAGCCTTATAATTATTAATTGGAATACGACGAGATGATGATGAAATTTCCATTTCCGTTGCAATCGAAGTTCCTCTGGTTAATTATTAGGTATGATTGAAAGTTGGTGAGGTGAATTTTGGTGCCGTAAAAACGCAACAAAGCATTATTATTGTACCACTGAGATTTTAGGGTCTTCGCTTTAGGGAACAAGAATCTTTCCCATCCTGGAACCGATGTGCTCATTCTTTTGTCCAATCAAAGGAACCCTGACATTTCTTTTTTACTGTTTTCGTTTCCACGTGGCAATATCTTACCTTTTCACTTTTTCTTCTTTGAGATATCATTTCTTTCTTGAACTACAAAAAAAACATCGGACAAGTACGGAATTCTGAATTCCAGCCCCCCTACTATTAGCTTTTTTTCCCTATAAATCACATCCTACCCGTGAATTTGACATCAATTCACGCTCAGAATGCATTTCTCCTGTACTCTGTGGCTGGGGCTATAAAATTCTGATCTGGACTGATTGGTCATTCTCCCCAAAAACATCCCATTCCAACCTCAAAATACAACAATTTGCAGTCCAACACCCACCGTGAAATTAATGCAAGAACAGAATTCGTTCTGATCTGCCACATAATCATCAATTTAGCCACGTTAGAGCACGGGTGTCTCATCCGAACCTATAAATACTATTATAGTGTGGTGCACCTTTCTTCATTCGCTGCCACATAATCGGTCACTGTCAGCCATCAACATTACATCTACGTGAACGTACAGAGGTATGTACAGACGTCGGATTGGATTCCCATAAAAGTTTGATGGGATGTGTAGGACCCGCGGCGTGGTCCATAGTTACCTCAAGATGGAAAACATTTGATGGAATGTGCCGCTGTCCCCACCTCCCAAAACATCCCATAACCCATTGATACTATGCGTTCAATGTTGATGGAAGTGCAATACCATCACTCATGCAATAAATTAGAATCGTTAAACAGGAGAGGCCACCTGTAAAGTAAAAATGTGGGACCTTATTGGAGAGAATTAACACATCATCAAAATTTGGACCCCACTTCACTTGTGAGCTCTGAATCTGATGCTAGTGGAAGCGCCGTCAAAATCTCGAAATTAAAAATCATCCATCAAAAGATGATAACGGCAACACCTGATAGACTCCCGCAAAATTCTGGATTGAGAGGATAATTGGCCCCCACATCATCTTGTGACACCGTGGTGACAGCCGAGAACCAGCTGTTTATAGACTAGTGTGGTCCTGCTGGGACCTAACCAGATAGAAAGGGGTGCTGACTGCTGACCTATGAATTATTCAATCAATCAAATATTCAAAATTAAAATTTAAAACTCTCTATTTACTTATTTATTCGAATTTCTTTTATTTTTTTCCCACTTAATTGCCACCAACAATGCCAGCCATGGAGACCGATTGGACGGCTTAACATAAATAAAACATCAATTTGGTGTGATTGATTTCAGCAGTAAAACCAAAACCAAGGCCTGGTTGGATAATCATAGCTCTAAGATACATGATAGAGGCCAGAGGGTCCACTGGATTTGTATGATCATACAAATGAACGGTTATGATCATCATTCCTGGCCAATTTCCTCTTGAGCATTTGCAGCTCAGATTTTTCCCAGTGAATGGGCCATCTTCTCAAACTTTGCTTGTATGGAAATCATAGCTGTTGGCTAACAACAATGTAGTACAACTATTGGATTAGTGCTGTATGATCTGTTTGACTTTTAAGCTGTTTCTCATCATAAGCCAGCTATTATCCATCAAACGGCTGCAATTGATTCTTCTGCGGGCCCTGCTGATTGTATATGTGTCAATTCTTTTTCATTTTATTTTATTTTTTTTAGTTTGGTGGCAAAGGCCAAAATTGAGTTGAGAGCTCGGAATTTGGAATTAAAATATTTTTTCTCGCCTCGTACGAGTTTCCCTGCTGGGAAAAGAAAAAGATACTATTAAACTAAATAACTAATCGAGAAAAAAAAAAAAGAAATGAAGACGTAGAGAGAGAGAGAGAATGAGGAGAGCGAAATAAAAGTTCAATAAACAGCTACGCTGAGCTGACATCCAGTCCATGAAGATAGTTGTGTTTTTTCCTTTCCGAAGCTCTCCACTTACGCATTCGACGTCTCCCTTCGCAATCTACAACTCTTTCGTCTTCAGCTGGTCATCTTGTTTGGATCCATTCTCTGGATTGATCTTCCTGCTCAACGCCAAAGAGGAATAAAGATCAGAAGAACGGTCATGGATCCGTGCCCGTTTGTTCGAGTCATCGTCGAGGGGCTCGCTCTAAAACTACCAGTCGCCAGCAAGCACGCCGGGTCTGGAGTACACCCTTCCACCACCCCATGCTTCTGCAAACTCCGTCTAAAGAACTTCCCATCCCAAACTGCCCTCCTCCCGCTATCGTCCGCATCCGCCGACTTACCACCAGACACCACCACCTCCGCCGCCGGGTTCCACCTCGATCCCTTCGTCCTCCGACGTCTCTCCAGCAAGCCCACCACCCTCCACGTCTCTGTCTACACAGGCAGCATGGGTCGCACTTGTGGTATCAGCTCCGAGAAGTTGCTGGGCCGGGTTCGCGTGGTCCTCAACCTCCAAGGCTCTGAGTTTCGCGCTTCTCTGTACCAGAACGGGTGGATGAAACTGGGGAAAGAACCCGGTAAGCCATCGGCTCGGTTGCACCTTGTGGTTCGTTCAGAACCGGATCCAAGGTTCGTGTTTCAGTTTGGAGGCGAGCCGGAGTGCAGCCCCGTAGTTTTCCAGATCCAGGGGAACATAAGGCAACCGGTCTTCAGCTGCAAGTTTAGCGCTGACCGGAATTCGAGATCACGGTAAGTTATGTATTTTCTATAATTATCCCTTTTTCATGGGCACATTTTAGCATTTTACTGGAGGAGTGACTAAAATGCGCTGGTCGTCACTTGCCTATGGCACACTGCACTGCACATTCAACTTGCCAATCTGTCAGTCGGGTAGTGCCAAAAAAAACCATAACTTCCTGTCTAAGCGAGCGCTCCACGTGTTAAAAACCCACTGAGTTTCTGTTATTCGTCCAAGATATATGCAGTGAGTTGGTTTTCTTTGAATTAAGCTGGTCACCACTCACCATTACCAGCAGTCTAGCACTAGCTTGCGAAATTCAATTTGATTAATTTCAGAGGCTTCGTGCCTGGTGGTGATATTGTTCTGGTAAAACTGGCTTCTGCATACAGGAGTCGAACTCGTGAGATTGTTTGTGAGTTGCAAAACTGATTAGTGAATGTTCTTTTCTGCTCTTTTCTCACTCGTTTTAGTTTCAGAAATTAAAAGCGATTCATGTCATGTGGCTTCACCAACGAGTTCAGCTTCCGACAGGGCAAAGCCCATTACAGCAGCCTTTACAGTATTGCATCTAGAATATCTCATACTTAAGTGCATTATTTCATGGGGAGATATTCCCAATGCAAGGGAAGCCGATCTCTTCACGAACCACCACAGTGGTTTGATTTTATGTGTGATTCCTGAAAAATTTTAATCACTTTTCATGAGCTTTTCCGATAATTGTCGTTTAAAATAATAAAACTCCATGACTTAAACAAATGTAGAGTTCGTATTATTTTTGGGTGGTCCTCTGCTTACCAACCTTATAATTATTTTCGAGGAATATATTGAAGACCCTCCCATGTGCATTTGTTTGTTTATGGTGGTTGAATTGTTCTTCCTATCATTGTCTTCTTCTTGGGGTTATTCCAATTTGATGGCAACTGTGATTTGTTCTTTTTCTGCACTCTATTTCTCTCTAAAAAAGGGTTAAAATCATATTGGTGGTACTCACGTATGTTCGCTGTTCATTGTGAGAATTCAGGTCTCTGCAACTAGATTCAAACATGAAGAGTAGGGGATGGATGAATTCGTTTGCAAGCGACAGAGACCGGCCAGGTAGAGAGAGAAAAGGGTGGATGATAATGATTTATGATCTTTCTGGTTCCCCTGTGGCCGCGGCATCCATGATAACACCATTTGTCCCCTCCCCTGGCTCCGATCGAGTGTCGCGCTCTAACCCCGGCGCTTGGCTCATCCTCCGCCCTCAGGGGTTTTCTGTCAGCAGCTGGAAGCCATGGGGGCGCCTGGAGGCCTGGCGAGAGAGAGGGCCCATCGATGGCCTCGGCTACAAGTTTGAACTGGTGACGGACACTGGAACTAATAGTGGGATTTCTATTGCTGAAGCTACCATGAGTATCCGAAAGGGTGGCCAATTCTGCATCGATACTAGCCTGGTGGGAGATACTGCATCAAGCTCGTGGTCATCACGTAGAGGATTCATAATGGGTTCCACGGTGGAGGGTGAAGGGAAGGTCAGTAAACCGGTGGTTCAGGTCGGTGTGCAGCATGTCACATCCACAGCCGATGCTGCTCTTTTCATCGCGCTTTCTGCTGCCATCGACCTTAGCATGGATGCCTGCAGACTATTTTCACATAAGTTGAGGAAAGAGCTTTGCCACGACCAGCAAGACTATATCTCTTAGAATTTTGAATTTTCATCAGGAGCTTAATTAAACCCCTTGCAAATTCACTCTTCCGGTACAATGATAATCGGTTTGTTCTTTCTCTTCGGAGTTAAAGAACAATTAATTGATTTGATGTGGGAGAGATTTGTGGTTTTTCCTTCTCTTTGATCAGTTCTTTACTCCTGCAGATTTTTTCACACTTCTTTTTACATTGAATGGTGGTCTCTGGTTTGCTTTGTGGGGCTCTCTTTAATTGATTATTTGTAATTGGGTTCTCCAAAATCACCTTTTTTTTTTTTTGTAATTTTGCTTTTATTCTTTGGTTTACTTTGAGTTCTGCCGACATCTGAGGACAGGTGAGGTCTTTCTTCTTAGAAGATTGTTCATATTTATAAATCCATACAGATTGGAAGTGGAAACTGTACAGACAGAAAGGAGAGAATTATTTGTTCATATTTATCTATTACATTCCTGTATCATTAATAGTTCAAGATTTGCATTTTTTTTTCCTCCTGATATTGTAGTTGATTAACACTCTTTTACACAGTGCACGGTAGATGATTTGGATGGAGCAAAACGAGCCAGAACATGTGCACACAGACATTGCTCTCCCTCCTTTATTCTTTTGAAAGTGAATGTTCGGGGATTAGTGTCACTAATAGGATCGCGGAGTTGACCGACTTGAATTTAGATAGAAGAGAGAGGTCCCTACTGGCTCGGAAAGTCCGATACCCGATTCCACCCAAAATCCGATTAACCAAAATTTTGGTGGTTATGGGTCGACCAATTCGATCAGTTATTTGACCAATTCCAATTAGTCAAATTACTCAGTTTATGTTGTTATCGATTAAATAATAAATATAAAAACCATAAAAAATATTATAAATTTTTTAGAAAATTTGAGGATATCTTTGGTATTATACATTCGTCGTATTAAACATATTATCACATGATGGAAAAAAAAAGAAGAAGAAAATTAATGCATTATTCATGACATGTTGATTTGGCCATTCTAAATCAAGTACTCCACAAATTAGGGTTTGGAGAGATTGATTTTTTGAGTAATGGAATGTGTTATCATTGTTGCGTATAAAATCTTGCTAAATGGAGCCAGGAGAAGAGCTGAAAGGAAAACCAATAACTGTTTATGCTCATGTCTGTTACTCTTCATCTCACATATCTTTTTGCAGATGATAACTATCTATTCTCCAAGGTTGATCCAAGAGAAGAGATGGTTATTTTGGTCACAATTCATGCTTATGGAAAATCTTCCGGTCAAAAGGTAAATATGGCAAAATCCGATCTGTTTTAGTCGTAATTTACACTCCAAACTTGAGAAAATGATGGCAAAAATGCTTCAAATGAACACAGTTGAACACCCATCCATCTATCTTGCCCTCCAATTGAGATTGGGAGGTCAAAAAAAGATCTATTCGGGGATGAAAACCAATAACTGGTATGATCTTCTCTCCTCAGCAAGAAAAAAAAAGTTCTCCTAAAAGCCATTATCTCAGCCATACCAACATATACTAAACCCAATTTGAGTAAAACTAGGAAGACTCATTGGATTAATTGCCGAGTCATCAGTAGGAATAAGTCAAATGGGGGATTGGGGTTTACGGATTCACATTGTTTTAATTTGGCCTTGTTGAGCAAACATGCCTGGAGAGGGCAATTTACATGCTAAGGTTATTAAAGCAAAATATCTTAGAAACAGAAGTTTTTCTACCCAAATTTATCTACAAGAGGATCGTGGGGTGGCAAAGCATCCTGTCAACTAGGAAGATTTTGGGAACAGGGATGTCGTTGCGCAATTAAGTTTGGAGACAAGGTTAAAATTTGGGAGGACCCATGGCTCCCAAAAATTCTAGGGTTCAAAATCCAAGATCCAAAACCAAACGATGCGAACCCAAAACCTCATCAGGGATATCATCCTGGAGGACAGAAGAGGATGGAATGAAAGGCTAATAAGACAAAATTTTCTTGATATTTTATGACACAAACATTCTCAATATCCCTTTGGCTTCTGGGAACTAGTTGGACAGATCCTGTGTTGGAAACTAACAGAGAATGGTAACCTCTCTATCACGTTTGCTTATTGTGTTGCAAAGTCTTTAGTAGCAAATCAAGTTGGACCACAGGCCCAAATAGAACCTGCTGGAATAATCTTAGAGAAGAAGAACTGGAAATAGGTTTGGGCTCAAAAGATAGAACCCAAGGCTCAGTTTGGAAGGATTACAAATGCGAGTATGTAGTATATATTTGCATTTGTACTCTTTTCAAACTCACCTAAGTTAAAATCTTTTCTTTGGAAGGGCTATTGGAACGATGTAGCAATTAAGGAAAACGTTGGAGAGATAGGAATATTTTGATACATACCTCTGCGTGTCTGGTCTACAATTTGAACATCAAATCTGAGGTACATGCATGCTTTGTTTTTCTATTCCCATGCCAAGCATCTTGGTTTGCTAGCTTCGTAAATATCAAGGCAGAAAATTTAATTATTTACATCATGGTTCAGTTCGTGGTTGAATGATTGCAATGGTTTAGGTGTGAGAAAATAAGAGATATATTTGTTGTGGATGATATGGAAAAATAGAAATGGTTTTATAGTTGAAAATTCTGATACTTTTCCTAGCGTCGCTATTTCATGTGCTTAATTACCAGAAGATGAAGTAGAAGAATACGATTTCCCCTCGAGACTGGAAACTTTCTTCCCAATCAACTGAAAATTGTGCTTATTTACGGCAGTTTTTTGGATGTAGGTCAAGTGAGCTTTTGTGTGATTGTTAGGGACCATTTTGGTTTGGCATTGGCTACGTACTTCTTTTGGTCAAGTGACAATCTCATCCCCACTACAAACTAAGTTATGACAATGATAAAGGCAATGGAGCTTCTCTATGTTTTGAATCCTCACAAGGCTATTTTGGAAAGTGATTGCTCAAATCTTATTCAATCTCGTCAAAGTGATCAAGCTCATGATGCCACAACACATGAATGTATCTTTTAAGTTTGTAAGTACATCTTTGAACAAGGTTGTTCTACGGGTGGCAAATTGATGGATTTGGTAAGGGTTGAATATCAACCCACCCATATTAATCCATCAACCCACCATGATCCATCACCAATCATAGTTAAAGGGTTATAACCCACTCTAACCCTAACCCTAACCCTAACCCTAACCCTAACCCTAACCCCAACCCACTCATATTGACCCACTTGACCCATCCATATTGATCTTTAACCACCCTCACCCATACTAATCCACCTACCCTCACTACAAAAATAGGTCGGGATGGCCCGTATACGCAAAATAATAAATTTTGAGAGAATGATCTCTCTCAAGACCGTCACGTGACAAAAACAAGTCAAGTCAACCCATATACCCGAAAATGCAAAAATTGTAGTGTGCAATAGATTCACATTTACTAGTACCATTAAAAGTACAAATAGAGTCTTAGTTTCTAGATTCCCAAACTTTTCCTTGACCCCCTTCTATTTAGAGGGAAGAAAGCATAATTTCATAATTTCTATTATCACTTTTCTGCTCATCCTATTTTCTCTCAACCAAACTTTTGTTTAGGGTATAAACTCCATTCTCTTCGATATTGAATCCTATATTTAAAACATTTTTAAGTGGGGGTGCGGGGGGGGGGGGGGACCTACCAGTGTTCACTATTGGTAACTATAGGTCCCATGGTAAATTTATTTTCCCATAGGTATCACTTACATCATAGGTAAATAACTTTTCCACCTAGGGGGAGTTGCCAAAATATTATAGGGCAAAATTGTCCCTTCAAATAATGAAATTATGGGCAAAAATGGTCAATTGTTTAACTCATGTAAATTTATGATCAAAAGAACATGAGTAAATGACTTACTAAAAAATGAACATGCCCTTGGTGATAGGTAAGCGTTTGAACTATCATGGCATTCATTTGATTCATAGGAACATGGATATGAAACCGGAATCAGCATGGACCATTCTGATTCCAATTGCTGGTGAAAAGGCATTCCCCCATTTATGAAACTATTCATTCCCTCCTCGTCCCTTGGAAATCTCATTCCATCTAATTCCAATTCCCATATGGGATGGGAGAACAGACCCATTTCAATAGTGATTCCAAGGGAGAATATACCCATTTCAATTATTTGCCTAACTTGTGACAATTTGGGGAGGAGGAATTTGAGAGAAAATGAAGTCCAGGTATTTAAGTGAAGCACTCCATATAGATATGGTATATATGGAGATTACCCTCATTATTGAGTTCGGAGTAGACCTGTTCATGGGCCGGGCTTTTACTGTGTATTAACAAATTTTTTTTAAGGCCCGAGCCCGAGCTCGGCCCGACCATCGGGCCTACAATTTGGGCCCGAGCCCGGCCCTCATAAAAAAGCCCGAAGCCCGAGCCTGGGCCTGGGCCCGAAATTTAGCCTATATTATTATTATTATTATTATTAATGTTGAAGCAGCTGAATAAAGAGAGAGATAGATTGAAATTATAAAGAAAAGAATAAAATATATATATATATATATATATATATATATATATTAGATTATAAATATTATATTATTTATATATTTTATATAATATATAAAATACATATTATATATTTTATAAAATATATAATACTGAGTCGGGCCGGGTTTTTTTGACAAATCCCGAACCCGGCCCGAAACACAGTCGGGCTTACTATGTTAAGCCCGAGATCAGGCCCGCGGGCCTAATTATATGACCAAGCCCGGCCGGGGTGCGGGCCTGGCCGGGCCGGGCTACCCGGCCCATGAACAGGTCTAGTTCGGAGCTTCAAATCCTTTAATGGAACTAAATTCAACTAAAGGGCCCATTGGTGATAATTAATTTGGCTGAACAGTCTAAGTAAGTCGCTCGTTATTTTAATAATTTTTAGTTTTAGTGACTAAAGTTATTAACGATATTTGGAGCTCCTTAATGGCACTATGGTTTTAATTTGTGGATTAATACATGCTTAAATAACGCATTCTTAATGGCTGAAATTTTATACACTAAAGGGTAAAGCAATAACACATACCATTCGACCACTTTCAGTTTAGGCTCAGTATGTACGGTACAAATATAAATAATACAGCATTCAGTAAGACCACTTTCAATAACACATCCCGTTCGACCACTTTCAGTCAAGGTTTTCAAAATCGAACCGGACAACGAACCGTTTAGGGTCTGTTTTTCGAGTCAAATGGTCTGATCATTCAGATCGACCGAATAGACTGTTCTGAAAAAAATAAAAAATAGTCAAAACCATTGTCCGGGTCAATGGTTTGAACGGTTCGATTACCTGGGTCAGCGGTTCGCTGATCAAATCAATTGCTTTTCACTAAAAGATGGTCTGGTTCCCACTTGTTCTGGTCCGACCATCCAATCTGGTCCGGTTTTGAAAGCACTGCTTTCAGTTATCCCTAATACTAGGTTGAGGACAACCCTAACCTCAATTTGTCTGAAATTGAAACCTGTACCCTAATTTTAACCGTAATCCAATCCAACTAAAAACTTCACACTTAGTAGTCATGTTATGAGATGTGTGGTTATGGATCATATCCATGGTAAGATATGGTATTTTGCTATATGTGAATGGTCCCCCATATACAAAATAGCATGGATAGGGACGAGCTATACCTCAATTTATTGTCCATAGTATTTTCTTGTGGATGATCCATACTATGGTGTGTAAAGATTGTGGGAATGTTTCAGTGTAATGCATGAATGTTACATTGGTCCAATTAATCTCATTTTATTTAATCTTAATAATTTATAATTTTTTAATATTTTATTAATAAAATAATAATTTTTAATGTTAATTCTAGCACAAGTCTGACAATTCTCCTTCTTCACTATTTTTTCATTATTTAAATATTATTTTTTAGTTTTATCAATAAAATAATATTTAAAATATTAAAATAATATTTTTAATTATTTATAAAGTATAATTGTTGCTTACACATTAATTTATTAATATTTTTTTAATTTATTTACCACATAAAATGTAAAAATTAAACATTTATGATCGATTGTGTAGATTTCTCATAAAATATATACGAGATACATGTAATCAAACAGTCCACACCACATTTACATAACGCTACTATGGGTATAGACTAATCCAGTTCATACAATTTATTCAACAGTTGAAAAAAAATTATGGATTAAAATGTAGTGTGAATTGATCCTGCCACAGGGTATAGTGTGGACTAATATCCAAATTTCGTCTCTCTCATCACTGCCTCTAAACTATAAATCCAACATGGCTTATAAAAAGTTGCATTCTATCCTTATCTTGCCGTGCACGGTCGGTGCTTCTACAAAAACGATTCTCCCACATGCATGGTTTCTTCTTTCTTGTAATGTTATGGATATCCAAACCAGTAGTAGAATCTCCTCCCGAGTACCCCGATCCACCAACTCATTATATATATGACAACCTCCTTGAATATCCCATTCTTTTATGTAAATCTTGTATATATAAGATATATAAATCGTTCCCAAATTTGATAATTGCCTTTGGGTTTTAAAACTATCACTGACCCGGGCAATTGAACTGTTTTTGATTTAGGTACTGCTGGTCATCTATCTATTCAGTTCCATATTTTACTTGCGCTAGGTTTCCCAAAAATCATTCAATTAATTAACAAACCATTCGTACTGAATGGTCTCACCATTTGTCGAGACGTGCTGCCTCAGAAGAAACGCATCCGAGCACAACACATGTGGGGCCGTGCTTTGTGTATATGAATCACTTAAACGTACGTGTCGCATTTCACTTGTAGGTGTCTCGTTCTATCTCCAGGTGTCAGGTGTCAGGTGTCAGGTACCTCTCCAACACGTACATACACTTTACATTCATTAGATACCTTTTGATCGCATTTACTATACACCTCGGACAGTTCTGATTTGTTCGTCGGAGTTACAAGTTCGCAATATCACCCCGTGCCCTCCGACTCTCCGACTCTCTCCTTCCTTGTAGGTACTCTGCAAGTAGGGTGAGATGTGATGAAATTGTGGGATTGTAGATAGCCACGTGGCGTATCTGAATTGATTGAGACCTTTTCCCCTTACAATTGAGAATGACAAGTGTGATTCGTGCATGCCATGAAAGAATTATTCTTGGTGTTTCAGAGCTATAATTGCCCCGAAGTTTGGGCTGCTCACTGCTGAACCCTCGACCCTCGTTGACGTTTCCTCACTCTCTTTGCCATAATTTTCTATCCAAATTCCTGGTTGACAGAACATATGGATATGGATGGCTAACTCTTTTTAGACCACCTGTCAAATAACAGTCGCCCATCGCCCATACAAACTCACCATTCGTTTATACCTTGATAATATACTATTTCAGTCCCTACGTTTTCTAAAGTGTTCAACGTGTGTGTTACAGATACACGATCGATCAGTCGATCATGATCAGATATGGACCCTTCCTTCAATGATAGCTGATCGTTTCAAAACCAAATGGAACAACACTTGATCGAATCCAGATTTTCTATTCACTTTTGCTATCCAATTGTACCCACACATCTCTTAGTTCATAATAGAGATGTATGGTTCCATAGAAAGTGGATAGAAAAAGTCAGTAGGAAATCCATCCCGTGTACACTTGGATTACTTAACCCAATATTTTCGATAGAATAGGAAACAAGGAAAAAAAAGCCATCTCGATATATTTATATATGGGTAGGCGTATTAAGTCTAATACTGAAAATAAATCAAAGATCAAACCTTCTGTCTGGCCGTTCGGGTCCATTCCGTTCGGGAAGAAAACCAGAAGGCTCCGTAGAGGTCTTTTGAGTTTTCCGGCATGGATCCCGGCCGCCTAATCTTTCTTTTGTTCTTCTGGTGCCTCGCATCTGGCGTTGCGTCAGAATCCGTCCTCAAAATTTTGCCGGAAAATCGAAAATCCGCTCGTCTGGACCTTGTCTCAAGAGACCGCAAATTCCAAAGAGATGACGGACTGTTCTGCGACAGCTGGAGGTTGTCGGTCGAGACTAATAACGTCGGGTTCTGGAAGAAGATCCCTCAGAGATGCGCCAGTTTCATGAAGGAATACATTTCCGGAGATCACTACGCATCAGATTCCGACGTGGTCGCCCAGAGCTCATTGGCTTTTGCAGAAACCGTTGAGCTATCTGGCGACGGGAAGGACGCCTGGATTTTCGACATCGATGAGACATTGCTCTCCAACTTTCCATACTACGAGCTCCATGATTTCGGGTAATCAATGGAATGTTCTTCCTCTAATTCGCGATTTCATTTCTTATCGCCTATGGTCTTTAAACTTTATCATTATAAACATGGGATTTGGTTTTGCAGATTGCAGGAATTTGACGAAAGGACATTTAACGTGTGGGTGGATATGGCGGAAGCGCCACCTTTACCGCCGAGTCAGAGGCTATACAAACAACTCCAGCAACTGGGGTTCACGTTGATTCTGCTGACGGGACGGAGCGAAGCTCAAAGGGACGCCACTGAGAAGAACCTTTTGGTTGCCGGGTACCACAGCTGGGAAAAGCTCATCTTACGGTAAACACTGCATGCATCATCTTAATTAGAACATTACGATCATTGTTTATGATTTAAATTTCTGCAATTCTTATTATTGCTGAGATGATGATGATCATGTTGAATGAAATCATGTAACAGGGGACCGTCAGATCAGGGCAAACCTGCAATTATATACAAGTCAGAGAAGAGAATGGAGCTAGAGGCAGAAGGTTATAGGATTCATGGCAGCTCCGGTGATCAATGGAGTGATCTGTTGGGTTTTGCCATGGCCAAACGATCGTTCAAACTACCAAATCCAATGTACTACATTGCCTAAATTAAACACGGTCACGTAGTTTTAATTGTAAATTTTTTTTTGTAACTTCCTTTGCTCTCTATAAGAGTTTAGAAATAGAAGAATCTCTTTTTTTTGTTTTTTTGTTTTTTAATATTTTTGGAAGGAAAAAATTTCATTCTTTCACTTCTGCTGCGTTTGGAAAAAATGCAAATGGAGTGTAAATCCTATTTCACGGTAAATTTGCACTCTCTTTCTTTCACTTTTGCCTGTATTCGGCAATATTGCATTTATGCATTGATAAATGACAAAAAAAAAAAAACATATACTTTATTAGAATTTATGCTTGTATCCATTACAGCTAAAAATCTGTTTGGTAAGAATGTCAATGCAAAACTAATCTAATTTCGTAATCTATATAAACCATTCTACACTTTATATATTTGCATTCACACTCATTTGAATTGTTTCTAAACGCAGCCTTCAGGACTAATTTACAGTAGATGTCCATCTCCACTATATGAGTGAAAGAAATAAGACCTCAATGGTTGTCTTTGAATCTTGTATCCACGTAAAACCGGTTTAATTAAGCTGTTAATGGGAGAGGGAATGGGCTCCCCACAGAGAACGGCCCACAGCCCATCCCCTCCGTTATTTGGGAATTGGGCAAGAATGAGGCCCTATTAGTATCAGATCCAGATGGTTTATATGCTGTCAATGGGTCGGGTATGGTTCGTGTCTAGTAACATCGCTTCAAACTAATACATAAGGGCCCATGGGGGCTGAGGAAGCTGCTTTATAGACTCATGTAAGCCTATTTTTGGTTTTCTGTGTTTTTTTTATCAAACGTAGTTTTACAGTTATCCGTGTAGTGGAGGCTTTGTAGAATTGTAGGAAACAGGATTCGTTCGAACAGCCTTAGAATATCTCTCCATAAAATAAAGCACATAATTACGGAGATATTCTCAATGCAAAACTGTAAAGACTGTCCAAACACAAACGGGTCTTGCACTGACTGAAGCCGATCTCATTTTGTAGCGTCAAAAGCCACGCTTCTCCCACTTCCACCATAACAGTTGTAATTTCAGTATTTCACTAATTTGAGAATAAACACACCCAATTGTTAAATTGATGAACCTGACCATGATACCAGAAAAACTTGTAACCAATCAATTGATGGTTCAATTGGGGGGATTTTCAATTGTTTGTAGCCCATATTTAGAATCAAATCCCCCTGCTACTAAGGTTTGGGGTTTAGGGGTATGGAGTTTTTTTTTTTTAAGCGCCTAAGGCTAATCCATTCATCATAAACTTTTAGTTACATCTGAGTTACATGATTTGGAAATAACAAAACTGAACAGTTTGGAAGGTGGTTTAATAGATTCTTGCAAAGAAAAATGAGTACCAGAATGCTCCAAGGAGGATTTGGGTTAACCTCCAACAAGGAATCAATTAACTCCGAATGAGCAGTAGTTGGAATAGCTCGAGAAACTAAGGCTCAGTTTGGAAGAAATACAAATACAAAATTGTAAAGTGCAAAACCTTACATTTTCTACTATTTTGTATGTATTTGTACTGTACATATTTGCATTTGCACTACTTTCAAACTGAGCCTAAGGGTATGAAGATGGATTACCCCGTTGTGTAGAGTGGTGTATCTTGTTGGTATGCTAAATATTCATATACACGTACAATTATAGGGTAAATTAAAGCAATAGAACTATCAAAATGCCTATATTCAGATTTTTTGTTTTACAGATTTTCGTCACTCCATTCAAATGCTTGTACTCTTGAAAAAAAAAAGTATAGGGAAGGTTTTATATGGAAAAAAGAGTAAAATAAAATAAAAGTTCAATGAGCAAAAGAGAATCTAAACATGGTCATTTTGGTAATTTTTCCCTTATTGTAATATTAGTTTTAACCAAATTGGATTTAAGTTGATATTTTTAAAAGTTGAGGGTACTAAAATATCTCACTTCAAAGTTCAAGCCCTTAAGTATTATTACCTAAAAGTACAATGTACCTATTTATAAGGGAAACTTCTTGATCAGTACCCTGTACTTTGGCTCAAGTGATAATTTAGTTCCCGAACTTTAAAATATGACAATTTAGTACCCCAAAATGTGACAATCCAATACCTGTCGTTAAACAGTTCGTTAATCACCCGTTAAGTGACATTTGAAAAGTAAAAAATGCCCTAAAATGCCATCTAATTCTCTTTATCAACCATCCAAACATTGACAATAAAATGAACAGTCCCAAATTCTAAATTCTTCTAAACAGTCACCAACTTTTTTGAATAGAAGAGGCTAGGATTTGGGACCCTTTAGTTTTTTGTCAACATTTGGATGGTTGATAAAGAGAATTAGATGTCATTTGAAGGCCATTTTTTACTTTTCTAATGTCACTTAACGGCTGATTAACGGACTGGTTAACGACAGGTACTGGATTGTCACATTTTGAAAGTTTTGGTACTAGATTGTCACATTTTGAAAGTTCGGGCACTGGTTTGCCGCATTTTAAGTTTGGAGACCAAATTGTCATTCGAGCCAAAGTACAAGATACTGATCAGGAATTTTCCCTATTTATAATTTACCCAAAGGGGCATTCTTTTTTGGATTAATTTATTTTCCTGGGATTCACACAATCCCATTGGCCAAGAAACCCATGTTCTTTTTTTTTAGATTTGTGTGGGGACTAAGCAAAATTTATTTTCTTGGGCATCACTTACCCAGATAAATGATATTCATCTCTCAAGTGAATAAATAACTTTCCCGCCTGGGGGAAAATTTGACAACACTTGGATGGGATGAAAATACTCCTTTTAATAATGGATTTTTATGATTAAAATGGCCACTATATTATTCACCTAGGAAATAAAAAAAAACATGAATAAATGCATTTACTCAAATAATTCACCTATTGAAAAACAAATGGGACCAAAATGATATATAATCAATTCAGGTTATTCAAAAGAGTCTGGATCTCCTGCCAATGAGAACTCTGCCCACGTTTATCGGAGCCACACATAGAGAACATCTCATCCTTTGTATAGTATTATGCAAGGGGAGATGTTCCCAATTCACAAGGGGTAGTGTATTGTGGGTAGGCGTGGGCAGAGTTTTCATGGGCAGGTGATCCAGAAAATGTTTAGAACCTTGTCGTTGCATTGCATTCCCATTTAAAACTCCAAGTAGGTGCAATGTCGGCATTTTGACTTTTATCTTCCAAAATCCAGTTTCGTTACATAAAAGACAAGTACAAATGTTTGTATTAGTCTTTGCATGGAGTTATGTGTATCTAGGTGATAATGGAAGTTTCAAAGAAGATTCTCTCTGTTGTTGCCAAATTGGAGCAAGGGCAGTAGAGTAATATCCAAGGTATGAGGACAGTGGGTTCCACCTGTTAAGAGTAAAAAGACATTAGAGGCCCTGGTATTGTTCCCAGGGGCGAGGATTCCGACGGTCAAGTTAGTTGAGAGGTCAAAGGAAGTAAAAGTCACCACAAGAGTATAAGCGATAGCTCAAGTATCCGGTGGGTGAGAATTACTCGAATGCCCTTATGAAGTTGTCATCAGTCGAGAATACCCCTAGCCGATGCCACATGTCAGGATCCGGTGAGAAGAACAAATATACCTATATCACCGTCACTTGTCCTATGTGGCACTTGTATAGTGCAGGTTGAGGGTCAACCTAGGCCCAACCCTAAGATTCAAACCTTCGACTTGGAATTAGCCCAATCCTAGCTTAGCCCAATACAATTCAAGCTAGGGTTTGAAAATACTTATGAATATATTTTTGTAAATCATCTTTTATTGAGCTTTATAATCCAATTTGTAAGTAGAATGGATTGAAAACATGTGTAAATTTCATTAACAAATGTACTGCATTTGTTATGCCCATGTGTGTATATATGTTCATACAAGTAATTATCAACTCATTTTGTTCATAAAATACAATATCTATATCATTTTTAGTTCATTTTATTAATAATGTATAATAAAATGAAAACCAAATTCCATTTGAATATAATAGAGATCCGGTATACAACATCATATTCAATTTTAAATATTAATGAATCAAATTTGGGTCTACTATAGTGTTTTTGATGTTTCCATCAATACGCATGCTCAACCAGATGCAAAATGTGGTGTGGCCACACCACAATATATATGGCCATGTCAAGTTAAATTGCCCAAATGTGGTGTGCCTAAATCAATTTTTTTTTGGGTAAATCAATTTATATGAAGTTTGGCACGGAATCATAACATCATAACGAGAAACCACCCTGGAAGAAACAAAACTTTCTATAATATTAAGGATGTGTTTGGTTTGAAGGAAAGAGTAGGGAAAGGTAGAGAAACCTTTACAAATCTAGTATAAGTTTTCCTATCTTTCCCTATTTTTTCCTTCAAACCAAACATAGCCTAATTAAAATTTTTGAGATTACTTTGGCCTTTACAAGTTGAAAAGAACTGAGCTTTTCATAAAGGCATACGTCTTAATAATATGAATATCAAGAGGGCCTTTGTATGCATGGAGAAGGCTACCAAATAAAGAAAAAAGGAGAAATAAGAGAGAAATTTCGGAAGGAAAAGAAAAAAAAAAAAGAACAGTTTTGGATGGGATATGAAAAAAAAGAACACTAGCAGAAAGTGAATCAGACGACAGATTGGTTGGCAAAACTCGGACATGAAAATCTTTTAATGACATCCGGCCCAGTCCCACATGCAATCGGGTTAGATTAAGATATTAGGCCCAAGCCCAATATAGGCAACACAAAGTCATGAATTAATTAAAATTTGGGTTTGGTTAGTCCTATCTTTTTTCCTTTCCTTTCCTTTTATTTTACTGACGGGCAACATATTTTGTGTTCAGCTAATCCGAATTTCCTAACATGGATGTGCTTCTAGGTTCTAACAACTAATCACCATATATTTGAACTTTGAAGAAGATGGAGCTTTAGGTTGCAATGCAAACAAATTTGTACTGATGCAAAATCCTGGCAGTGCAAATGATTTGAGTGTAAATTTTGATTTATTTTTGTTTTAAATTTTAATTTATTTTGTTTGATTGCAGTACAAATTAAGTAAATTAAGACATGAAACAAGTAAAATCTAAAACAAAATTAAACAAGAAT